CTCTCCCATCTGTCCATACCTATATATAACAAAAGAGTGCTATGCACTCATTTATTTCCATTTTCCTGCCATAATATCTGAATTATAAAGTTTTTTATCCAAATTTCACAATTCTAGACCACACTGTTTGACACAATCCATGTGCTAACTTCAAGATGAGTATTTGTTTTTTTTCTTTATTATCTGTACATCACAAATATATAATACAATTTGAATTTAAACAATTATGATTTCCTCCTTGGTTCACATTTCAATTCCAATACAGATTTAACAATGAATCTGTCCACTTTATTGTTTCTTAGTACTGTCATTCTACAAATGACACTAAATAATAAAACTCAATGGATAACTTAAGCTCAGATCCTTGCAGCAAATCTTCAGTTCATTAGCTTATGCAGTACACAAGATTGGACAATATAGCAATACATTGCAATATATTACAGTAGTCTATTTTCATTATTGTGATAACAATTGTCTTATATTCATATTATAAAATCATGACATTTTGTGCAATTTACTGTATGGAGAGTTATAACTCATCAAAAGCCAAATACTCTCACTGTTGCGACTCAATATATATATCCAAACATTCTGTATGTACACAAATATTAACTTATTTCCAAAAACTTTTATTCATATTCATAACACTAATAGTAAATTTAAAGACAAGCTTGTTGCTCAAGTATTGTTTAGAAAATTCAACAGATTTCTTGTACAATCAATAATACAATCTCTTGATTTTGCTTGCCAACAACATTCATTTCTGGCTTTACCAAAAGCCTTTCTTTGGGTTAAAAGACAACTTCATAGTTTACAAAACTGAACCATGTAAGAATAGTCTTACCTGTAATCTATCACTTTCTAAAATGTCACATATTAATTGGGTGCTTATAAATTCCAACAATCACTAAACATTGTCTCAAATGACAAATGTACATAGCTACAGGTACCTGTACAGGACCTTTAAGTACCTTTATTGATCAACAATGGCTGCTAAGGGCCATTCTAATGAATTTCAAGAGAGCATCAAAGAAGTGAACCAATTGCTCAAACATATAATACATTCAATATGAGCATACATATAATATATAATTCCAACATAATATGACACCTTTGAGGAATTGGATATCATCTCTAGGTGCTTTTTCAACACATTAATAATCAATATCATATGATTATGATAACCTTGAGGATCCTAATAGATCTCAATTGGATTTTATACTAATTAATAATTAAATAAGGAACTATTAATAATAATAGTTTACAGTTATTCGGTTTTTAACATTGGAGTTTACTACCAATTGTTAGCCATTGCTATATATATATACATATATATATATATATATACATTTATAAAATTCAAAACACAGCAAGAAATAAATATAATAATTGTACTATCAGAGTTAAGTACTATTTTCACTGAGAGCTTCACAGCTAATCATGAGATAGCATCTAAAATGTCTTTAATATGTAATATTATGAAATATAACATGTTATGTAGCTTGTATCAGTTTATGTCAACAATATACTGTGTCTATCTATATTAATATGCTTTATTAATTCATTAATAAACACATATCAAAGTATCAACCAATATAATATATATATGACAGTATCTCAATTTGGGAATATAACCACAATCAAGACATATACCTGGACTATGCCAGTGATTGTCATTTATCTGAAATGGGATCATCAAACATATATGTGTACCTATGTAAAGAAATAATAACAATTCTTCAATTCAATTCACATAGAACAAACACACAAAGCTGAACAGTAAGTTTGACTAATTTACTGTGAATTAGCAACAAACTCAGCAATACCATTACACTGTTTATATGTATAACATGGTATGTGTTCTCATGTTCAACCTGTATGTCAACATAGTTAATGTAACTGTTTCTAATCTGTTGATATCCTATCATACTCTATCATAGGCATTAATAACATAACAATAGTTACTCTGTATTTTAAACTAATTAGATATCCATGTTGTTTTATACTTAATGTATTCATAATACTTCTTTCTTAGGTATATTGTATACCTCAATATCGTGCCACATGTCATGTCATTACTCTCGCAAGTTATCGTACATACTAAATCTATTTAATATGTAGAAAGCAATTCATCCAAAAGTTCAATAAAACAAGTGAGATACTGCGTTTAATGGTATGCGTGTTATTAACGTAAATTCACTTACCACAACTTCTAGTCAGAATTACCTTACGGTCGAATTTGTAGGCGGGATTGGTACCGCTTCTGAACTTTTAAAATCACTAGTATCCTGACGACTTAGGCGTAATACCGGTTAGTCAGGAAGAGAAACACCTCAATGCCTACAATATTCACAATTACCTATCTCTTATTTGTTTTTATAATAATATAAACACTTCAACTTTTTCGCTCCAAAACTCCCGCTGCTTACGTTCAATCATCCGTCATCCACTTGTCAATGTCACATAGATTACTTTGGCTCTGGCCTCTGACGTTCCGTTTCAGGTTACATGATTATTGACTTTACCATTTTTAATTAATGGTGCGTCACACGATAGTTAACATTATGAATAATATATATGTCATCCATACTAATTAATGCGAAAGTATTTGTCTGTTTATTACAATATCACGATTTTCAATATCACGATCACAATATCACGATCTTTTTTTCGAACCATTCTAATACATCCCCGATCAATCCCTCGTACAATTCAAATGGGGATCGAAATTACGACGGCCTGAATCAAATTTCGAATCCCTAGCGGTGCCCTCAGACTAAATTCGTATCCATCAGGCAGGAATTAGACGTCAACCGCTCCATAAGTTCTTCTGCGGATTTGGTGTCTCCTACGCTCGCCCCCAATCGTCCGGTGAAGCTGTAAAAGCTAGCGGCCAAACGCATTAGAGCAGTTCGAAAAAAATGTTGTTGGCGGTAGCTAGCCTTTACAGCTTCACGGGACGAATAAAAGCGAGTGCAGAGAGCACTTTAAAATCGCGAGTACTGTTTTTTTTTATTATCAGTATAGCTGTATGAGTTTTATCACAATTTAGATTTTTTAATTCCTAATCATAAATGTAAGAAAATGGTAAAAAATATATAAAAAATACAATGTGGTGGTGTGCTGTGGTGATCAGTTAACACTTAGGGGTATCAAAAATAGTTTACTACTTTTAATATATAGTAGTAGTTATTATCTACTCATATACATATATATTTACACTGTCCTAAATTATCACCCTTCTACCAAAACCCCTATTTATAATATAATGATAAATTTACACAGAAAATCGATTTTTTAGTTTGCCGAATCAACTAGTATTGACTATAAAAAACTGTGCAATATTATATGCATAAAATGATATTAAAACACATGTGTTTTAACAAAACTGTATGACATATATTACTAAAGAATAGCAAAAATAATTAACAATTATAACAAAACTATGAAGAGTATGGATAAAGAAAAGTTACTAAATATAGTGTGTTTAGAAAACTCTATAACATATATGACTAAAGAATAGCAAAAATAATTAACAATTATAACAAAACTGTATGAATTTACAAAGAAATATCACCAAAAAAATAATGAGTTTACAAAACTGTACGACATGTATTACTAAAGAAAAGTTACTAAAAAAATAATTAACAATTAATGTAAACATAACACTACCTTATTGAGCAAATCCATTTTACAATTGAATATCACAACACTGCCACCGTTCTGTCAGCGGTAGGAAATAGTGCGCACGCGCAGACGTCGCGACAACTTTAAATGAGAATATTATTGTTGTACGCGACTAAATGATGATAACATATCAGGCACCGGTCGGCCTCTGAACTGCCGAGTAACCTAGCTATTATTTCCATAGCCACATTAATTGCTGTGGTATTTTTTTTTCTATTATAATGACTTATAGTTTTTTTTTAAACTATGACAGTGGCATACAATCATACAGCCCATTTGATCGTAAACGGTTACCGCAGCTTATGACCCCTGAATCACCAGGTATCACGTGCGCGTTGCCCTGTGTTAGCTCTATGGTAGAGTACGAATTCCCCTCCTGCCGATCCCCCAGCCAATTCAAACGGGAATCGAAATTACGACGGCCTGAGCTCAGGTTCGAACTAGCAGTGCCATCAGACTAAAGTCGTATCCGTCAGGCGTAAGTTGGCTTTCAGCCGCTCCATAAGTCCTTCCTTTGGTTTGTAGTGCCATGTACACTCGCCCCCCATTGTCCTGTGAAGCTGTAAAGGCCAGCTGCGGCCAACAGCATTAGAGTAGTCCGAAAAAAAAACATCTGTCTCGCATCGAAATTACAAGGTGAGAAAGAAGGCATATCACCTTAGTCCTCAAAAATGGCGAAACTATGATGATACCATCAACATCACGCAAGAACGTAACGTCCGACGTGCTGTTCATGTATATAGGCGATGACTGCCTCTTATCATAAGGCGGGCCATTAGGTTGTTTATCACCCTTACTAATATTATAAATGCAAAGTAAACCTGTCTGTCCGTCGCGCTTTCTTAATAAAACTACTGAACCGATATAAATAAAATTATTCCTCACTCATAATGATAGAGAATGCCATCAGGCATTAAGTCCGCCATGTATACATTTTTGTGTGCAAAAAAAAAAAATTATAAATGCAAAAGTACCTTTGTTAGTCTGTCTGTCGTGCTTTCATGGCAAAGCTTCTAAACCAATTTAAACCAAATTTGGTACAAAGATAGTGTAGACCCTTAGAACAAACATAGGGTACTTTTTAATGCGAAAGGGTTGTAAGGGGTTGTAAGGGAAGATGAAAGGTGGTAGGGAAGTATCATTATCTTTAAAGCTAGAAGCTAGAATCTTTTTTACTGATGATAGAATGTTTTTTATGATGGTATGGTGTTCTCACCCTCTCTAACTGTTTGAACTAATGAAGTATATACCTTATACCATTGTCATAAAGATTAATTCAATTAAATAACATAATACAAGTGCAAAGTACTTACCGCAGGTCGCAGTCTGTTGTTACACTCCTGTAATTTTTTAATATCTAATGTTAGTACACAAGTATTAGTAGTTAGCAACAAACACAATAAAATTAAAGCCAAATAAAGTCAGATATTAATATGTTGTTTTAACACAATTTATTATACAAACTTTATTTAAATATTAGGAATACACTTTTTAAAATATTATACAACATCCTAATATTCTAAAAATATAAAATAAAAATACTTTAAGGCAATCATATATTAGAAATAAATATGAAAAGTATGTTTATTCCAAGTCAACCTATTTATCTATATTTATTTATTTTAATGTGGGATAAGCCTCTTCCGCCAAAATAATAAATAACTTCTTAACTACTCATCACATTTCCAAATTCAAAATTAAAACAACAACAGGAAACAACTTCATAATACAACATAGACAATTAATACTATAAAGTAGACACCTGTGCACATAAAGCTATTGCTGCACAATTCACTGAACAAATAACCACTATGGTATATACAATTCATGTGGTATTATTATTCATTAATTTTGTCTATGTTTTTTGATAACTATTTTTTTTACTTTTCAATTATCTTAATTACTGTAGCACAGGAAATATTGATAAACTGCTGATACCATATTTTTCTCTCTATTCAAATGTACAGTCCCTACATACAGATTTAATGAATAAAAAAATATCTATGTTAAGTGCTACACCAGATATGAGAATAATATATTTTACCATGTAAGTATATGCAACAAAAACCATAGGTATAATATGTATAAGTGTTGGTGTTATATTCAACTCTAAAATTCATCAATTTTCACATCTACATACAGTATCTGTGCTTGTTATGGTTTGCTTTAATATTAAAACTCAATTGAACATCCATCCTAACAAGCTAAGCCAGAGAAAAATACTTCAGTTCTTAAGTGCCTATAAGAATCAATTCACTTTCAGTATTTTTACTGACTGTGGATAAATGTATAAAAACTCAGGTACTACCTCCTATGTATTCAGCTATTAATTTATTTTGCATTTCAGCCGTTTAAATAAAATAATAACGAAGTTAATTTGCATTATTATCTATGTTGTGTCTGTGTAATTAATACCGGAATTGCAAAAAAGACAGTATTCATAAACAAGTGTTTTTATATAGATTGTAAGAAGCAATTGAGTACCTATATTTATATTGTATATTTTTCTTTAAACTTATTATAAAAAAAAATAAAAATTGTTGATGGTGTTATAAAATTAAATCAGTAAATAATATCACGTGATAACATTGCTTATAAAATACGCATAATGAGTGATCTTAAAATTTTACTTAAGTGTTTATTTGTGACTTTAAACTTTTTTGACCCTAAATTGACCTCCAAACCTCAGTAAGGTCAGTTTGTATTAGTTTGGCGTCGCTTATCGTTCAAGCAGCCGATTACGCGGCTTGAACGGCGCGGGTCAATAGTAATAATGATAATACTGTTTCTCATAACTCACCTTCTTATCGGCTTCTCTAGAGTCGGACATAATTAGATTTATCTACAATAATTTAAAAATATATCCCTATAATAAAATACTAAATATCACAAACTCTAACTACAAAAATAAGTCATTCAATCAATCATACGTCAATCAATAATATTCTGACAGAAATCAGGTGATTGTCAAATTAATTCTGAAAGGCTTTATTACATTATACAATATTTTGGCAAAAATTACCTATATTTATAAAACAATTTTCTTTCTTGTTACATGGAGTTCACTCGGAGATATTACTTAACAATGTGTATATAATAAAGTGCCAAAATTCATACACTCTGAAGGATTTGAGTAAATCTATTTAAGTACGTAGTCTCGTGAGTCTTTAATATTCTGCCCTAAATCACAGATGTCAATAGATTTAGGAAAGAAAATTACTATCTGAAATTATAATTTATTCAGTTTGTATTAATAAACTATGTAATAGAAAAGTTTTTATCAGTCAAATAAATTATTACTTACAATACTAATATTTCACTAGACGGCAAAGCGCTTTATTTTATCATTTAATCACAATGGCCAAACTAACCTGATCTCATGCTCATCTTATCATCCTCCACTGGTGCCCCGACAGCGTAAAGCTTTAGCGTAGCGGGTGCACCATTCCATTATCATTCATTCAAAATTCAAAGATCATTTATTCATGTAGGACATATTAGCCGCTTATAAACATCAAATTTTTTACATTATAATTTTATTTTTTTCCCTACCGTCCAGTTCAGTATATAGATCCAATTGAGAAGAACTGGCAAGAAACTCAATTGAATTATTCTTTTTAAACCAGTTTATTTACAATGTATATTTATATTAATTGTGATGGGAAATCATAGACAATTTTACAATAAATAGACATGTATTTTAATATTAACAACAATTTACATAGTAACATCGATCAAGGCCTGGAGTTGTACCAACATCCAGTAGATAGAACACTTATATAGAAGTTATTGTATAATAGTAAAATAGTTATATAGTTACAAGTCTTAACTAATCAGTACACATCTTAGATAATTTGGTACAGTGGCTTAAATTGTTAAAATATACATAGTTTAGTTAGATATACTCAAATAAATTATTCAATTTGAAACTACATTAACAGAGTGTAAGCTTGAACACTTCAATCTGGTGCTCTATTCTTTATAATGTTGAATTTTCCAGAAAGAGCACTGGATGAAAAGCTTTCACTCTGTATATGCTAGTACACATTTTAAATAATTTGGTACAGTGGCTTAAATTGATAAAATATAGTATAGTAAGATATACTCAATTAAATTATAAGGTGAACCACATATCAGAGTGTAAGCTTGAGCACTAGTCCTTTCAATGTTTACATTTTCCAGAATGAGTACTGGGTGAAAAGTTTTCACTCTGTATATGCCATCTTACAGTAGTAGAGGACAAAAAAGGCGCCAATGCCTCAAAAAAAATCGACCTTGTTCATAGAAGCTCTTAGAAATTTGTTACTTTTAGAAATGTTAAAGTTAAAGGTAGTCCTGCTTCATATGACACAAGCTTGTGTCCAATACTCGTCCCACTCAATACTATGTACTATAGTACAATCATTCCATAACAACTTCCCTTCACTTGAAAATATATGATTATAGAATATATTCAAAATAGTCTCCTATAATTACAATAACATATATACAACATGTAACACAATTATAACAATATTTCAAAGTAGTCCATATTTACTAAATAGCAAATGAATTGATCAAGCTTTAATTAAAAATAAACCTATTTATTTCTATAATTATGGTTGTATCGTGAAAAATAAATTGTAGCATAATTGGGAATATAATAATCTATATATCTATACATATAAATAAAGTTGAAGTATCTATTATATTGAAATAACCGTATTTTACTACATGCATATGAATATAAATACGGTACATATACCAAAACAACTTTTTTTTACAATTTTTGTCTGTCTGTCTGTCTGTTTGTTTGTTCCGGCTAATCTCTGAAATGACTGGTCCTAGACCTGGATTTTGTCGGGACTTTTTATGGCAGGTAGCTGCTGTAAGAAGGAGTAACTTAGGCTACTTTTATTTTTGAAAAAATCTTTTGTTATAGAAAAATAAAGTTGCCGTCCACGCGAACGAAGTCGCGGTTACACCTAGTACATAATATATAGAATATATAACTTCATTAATTATTACAGAAAATACACATAATTATAATCTGTAAAATCAAGGTGAAATTATAAAATTGAATTTATATAACACATATAAATATAATATAATTTTGAACTAGAATGTATAACAAATTGGTTTACATGTTGTATAGTATATAAATACATCAAAACATCGAATTCAACAACATAGAAGTACAATATCTTAATAACACTTAAATTACACAATTACTACAAGATTATAGTTGTTATTTTGTTATACACATTTATCTAAAAATAGTGTAAAGCAAAGTCGCTGTTTTCGTTTGTTTATATCTCCGATTGTAGCATAGTGTGGGGACAGTTTCATTAACGTTTCGTTTCACTCTTAAAAGTTGCCGCTATTTATAAATTAAGACTTAGTATTTGAGCTGTACCACATTTGTAATATATTAAATCATTAATAACTGTATTAACTTAAATGTAGCAATTGTTAAATGTAAAATTAATAACTGTCACCCGCACCATGCTACAGCGCACAGACTATAAGTAATCAGATAGTAATCTAAAGGATTTTAACTAATTATTACTAAATAATAAAGATTCAAGCGATATTGATATGGTTTACTATCTTTTGGAGATATTTTCTGGAGGTTTATTTGGAAAACATACACTATGCACTTTAGCGAAACTTTAGTATTCTTTTGGAGAATTTGTTCTATGTGTTTATGTGACAAAACATACATGTGTGTCTAGGTAACAGAAGAGAATCACTAGTTAGTTTTATATACATAAAATTGATGTTTTTTTTAAGATAAAATATGAATATATTGCATATTTTGTTTGCGACAACAACAAGAAACAATATGTAATATTATGTAACATTAATACTGTTAACTTTTGTAGAATTTCTTCCAGAATCCTTATATAATGTGGATGAAGGGAAAGGGGGAAGATGATAAAAAGATGGATGGATTGTTGGAAAGGTGTATAAAAGGAAAGTAAGTTCAGATATGATAGCTGATAGGAATCAGTGGAAGATACTGCGATGACCTGATGTAATGGAATAAAGGGATAGCAATGGATGGAATGCTTGTATTTATAATACATGGGTATTCTTACACTATGTCTACCATATACAGTATGCACAGGGGCAAAGAAGTGATGGATTGAAAATTATTACATAAATTATATGAATAATATATGAGTATTGGTACATGATAACATCATATACATTCTGCACCAGAGCAGAGCAGAAATGGGGTGCAAATTATTACACAAGGACAATTGTTTTAAACTAATATAAAATAATAATAATTAGAATAGCTCAGGATACTTCACACAGCGTCATCTATTCCCAAGCAAGGCAGAGCTAGTGTTGTGGGTACTAGACAACTGATATAAATACGTAGATATTTTTTTGTATACATAGAAAACACGTAAACCGATACAAACAATAATACTCATGAATACAAAAGTTTGTACCGTGCGAGAAATCGAACCCGCGTATGATAGTGATATACATTTGTATGGAAGAGGAAAGATAGACACTAATTCCATGGTGAAGTGCAACAAATCAAATTAAGGAACTTAATTCTTATATCTATATTTTTCAGCTTTGGTTTGGCTTTCGGCCGGAGGAGCCTCATCTCATCCAGATGTCCACTGAAAAAAGAAGTTTGTTTATAGAATAGAATAGAACAGAATTTATTAACTGGTTTTACGCAGTAATGACACTAATGGCATACAAGGAACAATTTACATACATTACAAAACAGAGTCAATGTGGAACACAACTCAGCACAATGCTGGAAACATAGTTTCCAGTGCTGATATTAATTTGAACCAACAGTAGGAACGCACACAAATTACACATAAAAATATTAAGTAAAATTAAAATAGTTAAGTATTAATATATACATTATGAATTAACTCAGAAGCTTCTAGTTAACAACCCAGCAAAAAGATTAAAAAGATCAAATATCCTTGAGCTGGATGAAAGATTTCTAGCTAGCTGAAACATAGGGACCTTGTCAAAGGATAGAGATCCTCCCACGCCTACTACCAACAACTCACCTGCTTATAATACCAGTACTGATTGCAGATACCTAACTACCAAAAAAAAAGTATTATTATAGCATAGGATGGGAGGCGATTGTTGGTAATGTGGCCTTTTTTTTTATTTTTTTATTAAATACAAATTTCCGTGCCTTCTTTTAATTTACTTTAATATTATTATATTTCTTTAATTTCCACTTTTGTACAACTCCAGAGGAGCCTCCAGCAGAGATGTTACAATTTGCCTAACAGTGGCACTGAGGCAGACCTTATCTGTCTGGACCAGAACCATCGCTGGCCAGCCATTAATTGCAAATCTTTGCTGTTTTTTAATAATAAAAAAATAAAAATAAAATATATCCAGCCTATGTATTAACATTTATGTATATTTATGTATAAAGTACATATTGGCCAAAGACTGATGTCAGAAAAATGATATTAGCAATATTTATTCTAATTATCTTTTTAGAATTGCTTTTTTGTTAAATTTGTCTAATGTAATTTCACCAAATTTTCAATTTGAAAGAGAATAGCAATTTTAACACCTCACCTTCAAGTTAGCACCACCCTGCTCTCGCAGCTCCTGTTCCCGTCTATCCATTTCCTCTTCCCTTAGCTTCATCTTCCTCAGGCGTTCAGGATCTTTAACTCCTCGCTTTGCCTGCTCTGCCTGCCTGCGCTCAGCTGCCTCAACTTGCTGACGACGCCTTGTTTCCTAATAACAATAATAGGACTTATCAGAAAATCATTGGTGGATGGTGAAGTCTGTGAAGACACCAGGCGACTTCTGTGCTATTGGGAAGACCTTGGCTAGCTACATTTCTCGGCTTTACACATACAAAGGTCCAGATAAGAGGCTCAGTGTGGAAAATGGAATCCAACTTACATTACATTACATTATTACAAAATGCCTTGTCTTCATCCCAAAATATCAATAAATCTGATTATAGCCATAAGGTTGATGACAGATTGAAAAATTAAAAAAAAATCTTCCCATTAATTCATTGATGAATTGATTGTAATGTGGACTGATAGCTCCATTGCTAGCAATGTACCATGTCAGGTTGACCTTCATGAGGTTTCCATCCCTGGAAACCATCACAATGGCCTAACTGACCTGACCTCAATTCATCTTATCACCCGCCAGTGTAAACTGTTAGTGCAGGTGGGTGCACCATTCCATTGTCATCTATAAAAAAAATTACCCATAGATGGTTAGTAATAACCATCGCCCATGTGCATGGGGAACAGCACTACAGACCAGTTATACCACTAAATTTCCGGTGAATTTGTCCGATGGGCTATCTGATTTGCCATTTTTCAGAGGGCTGAGTATCATGCCCCTAACCTGTAATTCCGGGGGGAAGGGCATTGTTAGGAATGTGGACTGATGGTCCCATTGCTAACAATGTACCATGTCAGGTTGACCTCCACACGCTTCCCCCTGGAAACCATTGTGATAAATTCCCGGTGAATTTATCACGATGGGCTAACTGACCTGACATCATATCAGCCTCCACTGGCGCCCTGCCAGTGTAAACCGTTAGTGCAGGCGGGTGCATCATTCCATTATTATCCACTAAAAAAAAAGCCTGTAATTCCACTGACTCAGCTCATCCTTCAACGCTGCCACTCCAAAGGACAATGTCATGCTTAATAACCTGTAATTTCACTGCAAAGCAAGCGGTCGACATAGATGTGACTGAAGTACCCACTTAATAAATTAAATTTATGAAAAATTTAAACAATTACATAAAAAAAAATTACTTTAATTGCAATATACAATGTGTTTTAGCAACTTACAGCGTCAGGTGTCAAAATATCCGTAGCAGATGGTCTACAACAGGACGTAAATATACCCATTTTCAAAATAAACTTTACTTAATTATACATCAGTGAGTTCTTTCTATACCACCACAAGGAACACAATTTAAATAAAGTCACAAAGGTACGCGCAAAATGTATTATGCGTATTACTACGTGTATTATTTCGTAACTATATTCGGATTTATAGGTACATAGTTTTGTTTTTCTGTTGACGATTTTTGAAGTTTTGACATTTCCATTTTGACAATATCTACTTTTCTCATTTTTTATAATAGTGTTGTACGCAACTATTCATTCAATTTAACTGGTACACGTCAGTCGAGTCGAGTCTATGCGTTTATACATTTAAGCAAATACATTTATAATGCATGACTAAATAAAATAAATACTAGTTTATCAGAATAATAAACGAAGAACATACATAGACTTTAATAGAAGCAAATATCAACTAAACTAATAGAGCAAATTACAATTTACAAAATGGACCACTGTATATCTAATACAATGTTCAATATTAATCAATAATATTAATTATTATTTTGTAACCACATTAAAGAACAATAAGCTTTAAAGGTACATATAATATAATAATAAAACATCATATCTAGACCAGATTGCGATCGTTACTTTCGCACAAGCGCACTTCAGTCTAGAAATTTTATGGATATGTTTGATTTGCTACCAATATGATAGGTACATTTAGTTTGACTATGTAATGTCCATGAACTTACTTCACCTTAATTATTTGTTTGTTTTAACAATGCACAAACGATATTTATAAAAAATTGCATTACTTTCAGAACACTTATTACGCCAGTAGTCGGCATAAAACTGAATAAGTAAAAGTTACATAATAATATTTACTTATAAACCTACACTGAATAAATTGTTTGATAGAATCTTAATAATATGAATCAAAAAGCGTGTGTATCATTAATATGCAAGTTATTACAATAAATAAATATTGTAATAAATCCATATAACATGCATGATGCGTAAAAGAATCAAAATAATTATAATTCAATTTTTTTTTGGTAACGTATTTAATTACGTATCATTTTTAAACAACATATTTACATACTCAACAATTAATTCACAACAACATGCTCTTTTAGTCATCTTTAATAATAAACTGAGTTCACCTACCATTTGGTATCTTATTGAATTAGGATTGGCCATGATAAGGTGATTATTACAAACAACTTCAAATGATGAAATGAAGCTGCTCTCAGTAGTAACTTACTTATTTCCGTTAGTAACAGGTAAGTAAAAAAACTATGAAATCTGCAAATACAGTTAGATCAGTATCCGACAGAATACGACATAAAACTGACTCATAAATAGATCAATACAATTCGCGAACGTAGCGCAAGTGCAAAACTTTATTTATTATATATTGATATGTTAGCACACGTAGGGTTACCTATATCATCATCATAAACACAAACTGCATACCGTAGATAAATTTAATAGTAGAGTAGGTATCTTTTTCACAACCCAAAGTTGTTATTATTTATATTTTTATATGTGTATACAAATTCGGGAAGTTGGTGCTATAATATATCTATTATTTTGTTCCTCTTATAATTCTTCTTCGATTACTTCACATTCATTTTACAGTATCGCTTGGGAACGTTTTTTTTGTAATTGTTCCATTGAAAACCATGAATATTTATAAATTATCTAAGTTTTATTAATTAATATGCTTCTTGTCCGTAATAAGCTGTAACGTGTATAGTATAATAAGCTATCATTTTCACTAGATTTTTTATTTTATAAGAATGTATCTCATTATATATTTGAAAATAAATTAAAAATAAAGTAATTTAAAAACAATAATCACCTGTATTATTGTTATTATTTTACTTTATTAATCGAAATACAGCACAAGCAACGTAGAAAGTGGCTACATTGGTGAAATGATCATCACAGTGTGTTAATATCTCAGCTTTTTTAGTTAAATACATATAGTTTCATAACCACTGGTTTATTTTTTTTTATTTTCTGATAGCTGTGACCACTATTTATATCCTGCTTTCAGTTTATCGTCGACTTTTGGGAGACCCATATATGTTTAAATCTTATATTATTTTATTCAACCATCGAGTCAACCTACTTCTAATTGATCAGAGTTTAATTACAGACTACATTTTAATATATTTTAGATCAATTATAGATTATACGAACTCTGTAAAGTACATCGCTGATCCTAGTGTTGCTAATTTTGTTTGATTCTTCAAATCTACTACCAGTTTTCTCCTTATCGGATCATTTTCATATATTATATTTACTCATTAATTTATATAGATTAAAAAGATTATGCTTTATAATAAAATCTAGTACTTACTAAGGTTTAACTTTTTAAAGGAGAATAATATTTTCTATAATCAAATATACTCAAGTTTTTGTGTTTGGCAACACTGCTACTTCGCCAATTTATCTGACTTATTGTAGTCAGTCGTATTTTAGAATTAAATTAATTTCTGCTTTACAAAATGTTATCGCGAGCAGCTTTACGTGCAGGTAAATTTAGTTTGCTATATATTTGTTTTACACATCCATATTTTTGGGTAACATTTTATATTTCTTAGATAAACCTTAACCTACACGGTTCAAGTTTATGTAATCGCTGCGCTCCAGTCAAAGGTATATTTTTGAAAAAAATAGTATAAATTTCTTTATATATGTAAAATTGAAGTTATACCTTTCAAATTGACAATTACTTATAAATTTTTACGTACATCTCGTAGTCTTTTAAAAGTAAAATTTAATAAACTGGTATTAGAATAAAAATAAGAAATTACTTTAGTCTTATCTTTTATCTAATGCCTATTGGATAAAATACAATGTTTTTAGTTAAATCTTTGCAACTTAGAGTATCTGTAAGTTTCAGTTTATAATAAAATTACTAAATAACCTTGACAAATCATTCTACGTCGTCTAGTCTTAAACTATATTAGAGGTTGGACTTAACAACAGATATATGTATATAAATGCAATTTTTTTTGGCAAAAAGTGCATTTATGCATGTCTAATATGTATATATAATGGTAATAATAATAACTCTGTACAATTTACACATCTGCCATCCCCCTATAGGGGTGAACATTATGCGTATGTATACATTATTAAACGTAGAGAAAAATTGTAAAAATTGTTATTTCTATGTATGTACCGTATTTATATTCAAAAGCATGTAGTAAGAAATAGTTATTTCAATATTACAAACAGACACTCCAATTTTTTTTATATATGTATCAATTTACTATCTATTTATTGTGTATAACAAAACAACTATTTTACATTACAGTCGCTGCCCGCCAGTCCACGTCTACGGCGTTGGTGGCGCGGGGCTCCGCCACCGAGTCCGGTGTACGAGATGAGAAGAATTTCCCTCGCCCAGTGAGGGGGGAACCTGGCAAAGTCAGGCTTGGATTTCTCCCTGAAGAATGGTATAAATTGCACTTTACACAATTACAAAAATATTACTTTTCTACACCTCTGTGTATAAGCTATAAGTGTGTGAAATTTCATACTCCTCTGCTCATGTAATTTGTTTAAAAAGGTTTTTGCTTCACATGTAATGTGAAATTCTCTAGTCACTGTTTTGATACCATACTCCTTTGAAACGTTTACTGATTCTTATGAAAGTTTGTGTCCATATCAGGTAGATATCGGAGAAGCATCTATTCTTCATACCCCTCAATAATAAGGGTGACCCAGCTCTAATATTTTTTTATTTGTGGACTAATTGTTTTACTTCATCTTCAAATTCAATATTTCTGTTAGTTTATATGGCAATATGTCCATTATAACTTTTTATCAAACAATTCTAATATGTACCCTACATATTTGTTTAATATCATCGTCATCATTATCATCAGCCTGTGTATCTACTGTTGGATATAGGCCTTTCCAAAAGACTTCCACCATGTGCGCTCTTCTGCCTTCTGCATCCATCCACTCCTGGCCACCTTCATAATGTCGTCGGTCCATATTGAAGGATGGTGCCCGACATTCCCTCGACCCATACATGGCCTTCACTCCATAACTTTTCTTCCCCATCTATCATTGCTGTCTCTGCTGATATGCCCGGCCCACTGCCACTTCAGCTGACATATTTTGTCTTTGAGCTATGTCAGAGAGAGTATTAATATATAGATTATCAATTTCCAGGTTCCAATTTTTCCACTCAAAGACCGGTGTGACCGGCCCGTACACATTTGGAGTTGGTCTCGCTACATATCTGTACAGTAAAGAGATCTATGTGCTGGAACATGAGTACTACACCGGTCTGTCTCTATTGGTGATGGTCTACTTTGCTGCCAAGAAGTTTGGACCCAGCCTCGGTGCTTGGTTGGACAAGGAAGTTGATGTAAGTCAGGGTTTCTTTAGCACTGATTAATAGGTTAAAACCTTTAATAAAAAAAGTCAGTTTACCTTTAAGAATTTAGCCTCTTACAAAGAAATAAGATATCAACATAATAAAAACTTAAAATAGAAAAATCTGTGTTTACTATTAAGAACTTAGCCGCCTGCAAAGAAATAAATAAAATAACAATATAGAAAAAAAATATGACATTTTCTTACCTTATGTCACTTGTATAATACATTCTTTCATTTTTTGTTTTTTTACCAATTTCGGGAAAAGCAAAAGATCTCAGCCTGTAGAGCCATTATCTTCAGCAGTATTCTCATAGCTTAAGCCACTTTTATAAATTATATAGTTTAAAGTTTTTTTGTATTCCATTTTTACCATCTTAGGGTAAAGCAAAAGGACTGGACCCATACAGCCATTGTCTTCTGTAGTATTCTCATAGATTGTGCTCTCATATCTCTTAGTTTGGAACTATAGGCGCTGTGTGTATTGTTCAGAGAAATTAAATTATTTTGCGTTTGTTTTAGACATCCATAACAGTCCCAACAACCAGTAGACTGTTCAATGACCAATAGTGGCTGTTCTTATAAATTGATGTTGTATTTCATGCTTGTTATGTTATAGACTATAGAAAAGGAATGGAACGCAGGCCGTCAGCAGACCGTCACAGATCTGCAGGCTTTGATTGAAGAGGAGAAGAAGGCCCAGTGGCGCGCTCAAGGCCAGGAGCTGCTGATTGAAGCCAAGAAAGAAAATATTCTCTTACAACTGGAAGCAGCATACAGAGAGCGTGCGATTAACGCTTACAATGAAGTGAGTAACCATAGATACAAAGAAACCTAATTAATATTATAAACGCGAAAGTTTGTATGTATAGACGGAAGGTTGTTACTTCTGCACAAAAAAACTACTGAATTGTCTTTGATAATAATTTACAGTAGCTTATATTATAAGTAATAATTTACAGTAGTATATAGCTTAGCTTATAAGTCAGAATAACACAGGCTGCAATTTTCATATGGAGGAAACCGTGGGCACATATACTTATCTATATTCAAATTAAGGTTATTTAGCACTTAGACATTTATGAATAGTCATTTCTTTGTTTTAGTCGAAGAGTGAACCAGCCAAAATTTTTGTTGGTTGAATTTTATGCATACGCGTGTTTTACATTTTTAAGTTGATTACGAACTACTACTAGCACTAATTCTTTAGAGTCCAAATATTAAATACACAAGAAGATTAATAGTTCCACAATAATACCAACTAGAAATAATCTATATTAGAATAAAACTTAATATGAGCAGTAGCATTTTTTTTATTCTATCACTCATTCCACCATTCTTTTGCAGGTCAAGCGTCGTCTTGACTATCAGCTGGAAAAGTCAAACGTGGAGCGTCGCCTCTCGCAAAAGCACATGGTTGAATGGATCGTCTCCAACGTGACCAAGGCCATCACCCCCGACCAGGAGAAGCAGACCCTGGACCGCTGCATCGCGGACCTGGGAGCGCTGGCTGCCAGGAAGTGAACACATACGACAGCAACCATTTAGTAATTTATAATAATGTAATATAATGATATAAATCATGTTCTATGTTTATTTGGATTTTATTTAGGACCCACGACATCGTCTGTGTTAAATCTTTATTCATTAGCTGATCCAGCAAACGTTTTGCCATATAAATTAATATCGCTATTATAAAGTAGGGGTTGGTGATAGAAGGGAGAAAATTTAGGGTTGTATGAATTTTTATTGTGACATTACAAAAAATAAAAATAAATGTTAGGTGTGGACAACCCTTATTACTTAGGGGTATGAAAAATAGTAGTCGATTCTCAAACCTACTGAATATGCATATAAAATTTACTAAAAATCGTTCAAGCCGTTTCGGAGGAGTATGGTAAGGTAACCAACTTTGTGATTGTGACACGAGAATTTTATATATAAGATAAAGTTGTACTATTTATTTAGCATGAGATACAGACAGACAGAGATTATATAGTCAACAATTGTGTTTTTATGAAATTAATCTAAAAAATCTTAATTAGTATGATATATCAAACTCACTGATCAGTAATAGCAAATAATTATTTGGCAATTCTTTTGTGAACTCCCGCGATACAGGTTCGCCTAGTGCGGGGTCCAATGTATAATAAATTTTGTAATATTTGTACGTTATTTGCATAAAGAATAAAATACAGATGCTCTGTATTTATAATTGGTGAGTAAATAATTTATCTATCTAAATATTAAAAAAAAGAAACAACCAAATAGTTACAGAATGTTTATTACATAATACAATAAAATAAGCCGGACAACGGTTCATGATTTACTTAAAGACTTATTACAATATCATGTACACATGTTGTATAAACGAAACTGCCTTAAACAGTTCAAGATATTGCAAACATTTTATTGATATTACAACTGCGTCAATATTTTCCTAAATTCATATATAAATCTACATATATGATATTGTAATACACCCCTAATTAACGGACAGCAGTGGTCCATAGTTAAAGCTTTGTCTCGATTGCAGTAGGCTGAGGTTGAAGCTACGAAATGGAAATGGTAAAAAAAACTGGCCATATAACAGCGTCATCTCAAAGTACAAAGTACAGAGATATAATAATAATCTCAGGACAATTCACACAGCGCTATCTAGTCCCAAGTTAAGCCAGTTAAAGTTTGTGTTATGGGTACTAGACAACTTATACAATTACATATTTTTTTGGTAAATAAATACATAGATAACACCCAAATCGATACAATCATACTCAAGAATACAAATGTTTGTGTCGTGCGAGGAATGGAACCCGATACCATTGGAAGTACGGCGCTGTGCTAAACCGCTTGACATCAGACTAATTAAATTTAATTTAACAGAATCATTACTGAATATATTTATATATATAAATATATTTAATTAGTTTTCTGTAAGATTTTTAATATATTGAACCATATTCAAGAATACTAAAATAATTTCGTTGGAATGTGGATTCCACGGTTTCTCTCACTCAGCCTATCATTTTCACTCTAAATCAAACAGTAATTCAAATTCTCTATGTACTTTAATGAAATAAATTACATATTTATAATTTGTTATACATGTAACCAGGGGCGGATTGTGAATTTGTGGGGCCCTGAGTTAAATCTACTTAGGGGCCTACCTATATATTACTCAACTAAAAAAATACACTGACCAAAAACAAGCGACCAGAAATTCCCCATTCATTTCGATAGACGTGCATGGGTTGATTGATCTCAGGGTTGCCAACCTTATGATAGATTTTTAAAGATTCTAGATATTTTCTTATATTTTTAATATCGTTTCAGTGGGGACTGGGGGCCCTGGGCTGCAGCCCAAAAAGCCTTTAGATAGATCCACCCCTGCATATAACTTTATAACGACTTGTTTGTTCGTAAATTACATTATCATAAAAGTGTTACGATTCTCTTTAAAAATCTTGAAATCCTGTCAAAATTAATATACTCCAACACAGTTTTATAAGTCCTATTATTTTTTCTTTCATATGTGATTTTTTATAAACAAAAGTCTTCAGACGAGCCGTATGCAATCGACATTGTAAGACTTAAAGGATAAGTGATTAGTTTTTAATTCACGCATTAATATATAAAAAGTTTAATTTGTGGCAGTATATTACAATATAATGTGTTATTGGTCATTGTAATGATCTTGTTTTAATATTTTTAAACAACATTTGTTGTTTATCATAGACAATATATAATACGGTTATTTTTAACTCAAGCACATTTTGTTGCACTAAATGCCCAATCAAATAGGGATACATTTAGTATGGGATCATCACAGAATTACATCGATTGCAAAAGGAATCATCATGAACGGCGATTCGTTCTGTTGTAATGATGGATAATTTTGTGCAACAAAATAAACTAATGCAAAACTTTTTGGAGTAGATTAAAAAAATATATATTAAATTCTGCCCGTTATTGACACATTAGCTTTTCAATTATATCAAACATATAGTATGTAATTATGATGTTATACCGCGTTCCCGAAATGGCGATATGGTGGTGCAAAAAAAAAATATCTTGCCATACATTTGAAAATACATATATTCATACTTATTACATTGTTTTTAACAAAGCCACTGGCCATTACAGATGTCCACTTTTAGTAGCGAAGACCATTTACGGCCAATCTTCTATTTTATAATTATTTTTTTATTGGAATTAATATGTAAATGTGTTTATTCATCAAAAGCTAATAAAAAACGTTCGTCAGTTACAAAGCTATAAACTCTTTTAAATAATTTGTAAAATGCATATCAAAACATATCTGCATAACTAGTGCCGCAATTCCTCTCAAATAGTATCACAATTGAAAAACAAATAAAAAAAATATATAAAAAAAGATGAGGACCCATCTGATTGTAAGCGATAACAAACACAACTACGTACATAACGTTATCATGTGATAACGTGGTACCATTACGCTGCTATTGCTTTTTTTATACTACGATGGTGGCAAACAAGCCTACGGTCCATGTGATGGTAAACGGTTACCGTAGCTCTCGAGAAAACCTCGGCAGGTAATTAATTCCATAATCTAAATGTATGCGGGAGAAATTTCATCTGAAACCGCACTGTCCCTGAACAATCTTCCATACTGAACTTACGACCTTTATAATGCGAAATAATACATACTATAACTGTAAAATTATGTATATTTATATATTGTCCACATTTATATACGTAATTTGAAGGATACCAAACGTCTTATCTATCTATTTAAAAATAATTTAAATTATTTTTTTACTTGCAACACTATCTGATTGGAATTGCGTTGTGTTCGCTCAGCAAAAAACTGCGTAAAGACCAATTTTACTACCATATAAAAATATACATTACATCTCTTTCTAACATTAAGTCCCTACTGTTTGCAAGATTCCCATATGAAATCAACAAAATTCACATAGGAACCTTGGGTAAATATACACATCAAAAACTTCGGTTTCGTTTATAATACTATTATACATCGTAAGGACTATCGTTTCAATATGTGGAATACAAAATTTTATATCAGTAGTGTAATCAGAAACATGCTTATAGAAATTAGTATCGTCAGAAAAATTGTTTTCGATTACAAATGTATTTTTAATAATTTGAGTCTATCATTTAAATATTGGACCTAATAATCTTTTAGAAAAATGTTTATACTTTGTGAAATTATTATTTTTAATTTCAGAATTTCATTATATAATGGATTTATATTATTTTGTTTAATTCTGCTACCATTAGCATGTGTGAGACCACAAATATTCAGTGCAGAAACTTGACCACCACTACAGTTCAGTAACCAGACTACTCTAGTACTGGAAGCATTAACATGTGTGAGACCACAATTATTGTGCTATATAGCAGACTATTTGTGGTCTCACACATGCTATTGATAGCGAATTAAAAAAATGTATATACCTATTAAATTTTTTTCGAAATTGGACTACTCCGAAAAAAAATATAGTTAGTACAATTGAATGAATTTTGTAACTGTAATATTTTTAATAAAATTATACTATTTAAATGTATATTCTCGGATATTAGTAGATTACTATAACATTTTAGTTATTTAATTAAATATGGTCCCCATTCAAAGAGTGACCATTCGAAAAAATTTCAAACGTTAAACATAAGTAAATAACTGTCGGAAAAATATTAAAGAAAATAATACAAATTAGTATTTGGTTTCGAGACGTAATCACACGTCATTCTTACAGTTTTCTTATACTTATATTACAAACTTTATAATTTACAATACGATTATCCATACACAACTTATTTAATGTTATTACAATACTCTATTTAATATTTATTTATTTATTAAAAAAATACAAGCGAAAATAAACTTTAGTATTAGTTTTGGAAATAAAAAAATCTATTTCAATCTCGTATATTTATTTTATTCGAGTGTTAATATGTTTTCGTAAATTTTCGCTTGTAGAATAAAAAATATAACAAAAAATAAACAAAGGATTGTATCCTATGTCATATATATAAAAAAGAAATGTGTAATATATTAGCTAGGTATTATATAGCACCTTTATATATGTGCTTAACAATTTGTAGTTATATATTGGTCTACCCGAGTGACGAATAGGTTCGTTGCAAATGTAAAAAAAACATATAACGATTTTTTGGATCTGTGGGACTTGCGAAACTTATTGTGTAATTAGTCGCTTTACAATTTCCATAGACGACCATAGTCTAAAGAAGTCAGAAAATGAAAGATAGACTTTACTTTTTGGCCTAATTCTCTTCAGTTATATGTATTTATTTCTTAATAAGAATATTTAGTTTTACTTTAACAACAATAATTAGGAAAATTATACTTTGTCTCTTTCCCACACTCACGCAGAACAACGAAAGAAATAAAAAGAGAAAATAATACGGAACATTAAAGCCATAAGTCATATTTACAGCTATTTGGTGATTTTGGTATGGCACCATAGACAAACTGATTACGAAAATAAATATGATAAATATTGACAGCCCATAGACGGCCAAGCATCTAGATCAAGCAGCGCCATCTCTGTTTTACAACCTGGAAACTGCCTATGGTAGCTTGACTGTTTATAGTCCCCATAAGTTTAAACAAATTCTTAACATTATTTTTATGTGTATAGCAAGTTGTGATGTAGGAATGATATAATAATCTAGTTTACAAATCATAACCTCTCTTCTACAACATTCTGTTTACATTTCAACCTAGGGCTGATGTAGAGTAAACAAAAATCAAAGTTAAATCATGTCAAATTCTCAAACTTAATCATAGAAAATAAAAATTAAATTATTGAATTATAATTAAATTATTTTAACACAGATTGACTACATTTTAGGCTGCTAATACACAGTTAGACTATTTTCAAAATGGGCGAGACAACCAATTGCTTAATGGGAGTTCACAAATGTTAATTGCAATAGATCAACTTGACAACAAACCGACTGTATATCAGCAGCCTTAGTCTCTATCAACAAAATAATAACTAAACATTACTTAAAGATAACCTAAAAAAATATTGAAAATAAATACCTTATCGCATAAGGAATATAAACAAAAATCACTCGAGTGAATACAAAAATACAATGTAACTATTGAAATGAACAAAATATTTTTTTTATACAAAATATTGTTCAATATAAATATAATTATGTACTTATGCTTAGTACAACTTCACTCATGTGTATACAACCTATAAAGAAATTATACAAAAAATAAATATATTTCTTTTAAATAAAAAAAAATGATTCGGAGATTAGATGCCATAATTTTGTGAAAAAAAAACAATTGTAACTTATGGCAGCTGATTTCCAAATACAATGTTAAATATAAAATATTTGTTTATGCCTCCAAATATATGTTGGAAATCTGACAACCCGATTATATAATCTCAATTCAATCGTGGAACAATCAATATTTGACCATAGACAAAAGAATTCCCACCACATGTTATCTAGAACATACTGTAAATTGTTTTTAATAACAATAATTCAGCTACTTGCAACACCAGGAAAATTAGTGCTGTTACCAGTTTATAAAAAGGTTTAATTACGTTTATACTTTTGAAGGTTTCAATATCATATTGGTTTGGAAATACTTCTGCTTGAGAAGATTTTAGAGTATACCAACCGAATGTAAGAAAATTATTGTTAAAATGTCTATCTACCGTTCTCACATCATAATTAAACTTTGAGGCTTAATGCTTTATTCATCAACTCATACCATTACTGTACCATACTAAAATTACTAGATCGACCAAGTGTTACCAACTTCAATATTATTAATTTAGTTTTATGTGTACGATATTTGATGGAGTCTTCATTAAATGATCTTAACTATAGTAGGCATATTAGACTATACGATCTAAAAAAGAGCCATCGGTTTCGTTTTTCTATAAAAAAAACAAGGATAAGTAGCTAAAAACATGTAGATAGGAAGACTTATTTATTGAGAAGATTTCTCTTAAATTTTCTCAAATTCTTGTTCAATTTTCCCTAAAAATGTGGTTTTTAGAGAAATTTGAACAAAAATTGAGAGAACACCAGAGGATAATCTAGCAACACTGTTTGTATATGGGATCCATATCCATATATAGAGATGTGATAAACATATTTCAGTCCTTGGTACATTGAGTTTAGAAAAAAACATATAATGTTTAGTCTCGTAAAGATAGATATATTTTTGTCTGTTAAATTTAAAATTGTTAGAACAGCTACACTCATACATTTTAGTTTTGTTGCTCGATTACGAAATTCAGATGCAATCAAATGTCATTTGAAACAGATTGGTATATAAATTCATAATTTTGAGGTTATATTTGAAGCTTTTGATAATTTCAAACAAAATTAAACAACTCGGTAGATTTTTAACTGTCAAATGGACTCTGTTAGACGAAGGAAATGGACTTGTAGTGTGGACAATACTAACTCCATTGCTAGCAATGTACAATCTCCTACACTGGATTGACCTCCATATTTCCTCCCCTTAAATCTATCGTGATTAATTCCTGATTAACTGCAACTACGGTTGATAATCTTGACCTCACTTCTTGTTACGTCAAGAACTAGTGACAGATGATAAAATGGGCTAATCGGAAATGTATTTTTTATACTAAATTTGTATTTAAATTTACAGTTCTTTTATTGTACATTCTTGTTCTATACTTCAAATTCTGTTATGTTATTAGTTTTACCAATATATATATCTGTATTCCAAGTCTTTTTCTATAGTTTTTCGTTTTATCTGTACACGTATAAAATAAAACTACAATATCTTCATTGTATCACCTTTCACTGGTGCCATTATATCCTATTCCCGATTCATAATTACCAATTAAAAAAATACGGTCAAGATACCAAAATTATTAATACATTTTATGATATTTAAATTGACAAATTTCCGATTACATATAATCCATTTGACAATTTCAGACGCCAACCGAGTCGTATGCTTTGCAACTGTAGCTGTCAAATGTCTGAAACATAACCTCAAAACCGTGTCAGTCAATTTCAAACGCAAAGTCATTGCAATTGAGTAACATAATCGATACATGGGTTTGTAAAAACATATCGCTTATGTTAGTACCATACCGGCTTAACTAAAAAAATACAAACTTCGGAATATCTTAAAGTTTTAGCTTTAAAGAGGCCGATCATTAATCACGTATGGCTCGAGAAGTAGTAGGTACTAAAGATACACGTGATTGAGTTTGGGAGGGTTAGTACTAAACCTCCCTACCATGGGTAGGGTAGGGGGAGAGTATATGTTAAAAAACATGCTAATAAAAAGACCTGATTAATGTACCGGAATATGCCCCAAAGTAAAATTAAAAAAAATATACAATTTCAAGTTAATGCAGTATTGTACAAATTGTACGTATGTACGTCATTTTACTTAGACAATTGAATTGGATTTTGTTAATAAAATACATACATAGATATATATAATTAAAGCTTACCACAGTCTTCTGTTACAACATAACGCAGGTCCGTTTCTTGTGGGGTGTATAATTTGATTTGTTGTTGATCCTCTCGGCCTCCTGGAAGCGGCGGACGAGCCTCACCAGCTCGTGGAACGCCTGGTCCACGTTCATGCGCGCCTTCGCACTACATTCTATATATGGAACCTTCAACTGACGCGAGAGGGCTTGAGCCGCCTCTAGTGATACCTGAAATGTCATACCAGATCATATACTTAAAGACAATTTTTTTAAAGGGTTATTTAAACTCGATTTCTGTTTATTACATAAGGTTGGTATTAACTTTAATACTTTTTTAAAAACCCTGAAAATTTCAATCAGCGCTCTCTAGTCTCTAGTAGATAAGCAATTTACATAACATCTTTTTGAATTATAGCCTATGTGTTATTCCGATGTATAAACTAATATACCTGTAAAGTTTCATCAAAATCCGTTCTGTAGTTTTTGCGTGAAAAAGTAACAAACATCCGTCCATACTCACAAAATTTCGCATTTATAATATTGGTAAGATATTAAAGTTTATACACTCACTAAATACACACAAGGCAATCCCAGCCCTGACTTAAAAATTGTTAATTTATTTATTTTTGTATATACATTGTACTCCGCACTAGGCGAATCTGTATCGCAAGAGTCCACAAAGAGTCGATTCACAACGCAAGTTTCAAGACATTTGTAGCCCGGGTCCCCACTAACATGCTGACCACCTTCATGAACAGGAGCGGATCGCGAATTGGTGGTGCCCTGTGCTAAATCTACTTAGGGGGGCCTACCTAATTATATTACTCAACTAAAAAAATACACCGACAATAAACAAGCGACCAGAAATTCCCCGTTCCTTTCAATAGACGCGCACTTGTATGTGTTGATAGATCTCAGGGTTGCCAACCTTATGATAGGTTTTTTAACATTCTAGATATTTTTTTTATATTCTAAATATCGTTTCAATGGGCTGGGGGCTCTAGGCTACAGCCCGATGAGCCCTTAGGTAGATCCGCCCCTGTTCATAAAGGAGGACTACTGGCCGAAGGGTGTGGTGTATCGGCATTACCGTCATCAGAGCCGTTACCACAGCAGCAATTTATATATATTTTTGATTATTAATTCATATTTCACTTAAATTGAAATCAACAATTGAGTGGGTATACACTGAATTACTCACAATAGTTAAAAGCTATATTTGTTGATTGTTTATTAATCATATATATGTTGGTAGATTTCAAATATAATTTATAATTACTAATATTATAAATGTAAAAGAAGGGAATTTTTTACACTTTCACGCAAAAACTACTGAACCGATCATCACGAAATTTTGTACACATGTTCTTGGAGGTATTTGCATGAACATAGGATAATTTTTAATAAAAAAAAAAAAATATATATATATATATATATAAAAATCAAAATTTTGCTACTTCAGCGCCATCTAGCAGCCAGTAATGAAGTTATGCGAGCGAAGCCGCGGGTAAAAGCTAGTTTGTAATAAATTTTACATTTGTAGGCTGGTTATAAATTTAGCATAAAGTAATTTACTATATAATATACGAGCTGTATCACGTATATATGTTCGCTATCCTGCTTTTTAGCACACAGTAACATTTATTATTAAAAACAACAAAGATTTACAATTTTTATTGTAAATATTTGTTGTTTTTAATAATAAATAAATAATAATAAAATATGTATGTTAGTCTAGGTAATTGTAATATGGCTACACGGTTTGAGATGAATAAATAAAGAAATTAAAATAAAAGAATTGCCAGTTTAACATCTGACAATTTTATTATTTTTAATTTATATTTTTACATTTATAACTACTACAGATAATGTAAAAGTACAATGAAAAAAATTTATTATTATTATAAACTAATTTTCACTCGCGACTTCGTTTGATCAAGATTTTATCCCTTAGCATACTAGCTATCTTACTAATTTTTATAAACGCGTAAGTTTGTGAGTATGGATGGATGTTTGTTAGTCTTTCACGCAAAAACTACTGAACGGATTTTGATGAAACTTTAACTAAGTTAAATAACATAGCGTATACATCAGAATAACACATAGGCTATAATTCAAAAATATATTATGTAAATTGGGTGATATATAATTATAAGTGTGATGCATACGAAGTCGCGCAGTATAAGAATGAAAGAGAACTTTTTTAAAGAGATATATTTATGACAATATCTATCCCATAAAGTGTGGATACCCCATCGGAGTTTAGTGCTTGCAATTAGGTATACAAATATATACACAGTGGTAAACAGTACATGATAAATCCTATTATTGGTTTACCTCCGTGATTCATTGCGCTGCAGCGTGACGTCCAGATTTTCGAATGGGAAAAACAAATGCTATCATCAACTGTAGGTATTGATGTCAATAATAATGTATAATAATACTATCTGACTCTGTTTTGCCATATAAATTAAAATCGCTATTAAACAATAGGGGGTTGGTGCTGGAAGGGTGAACTTTTAGGGTAGGTGAATTTTTTAAAGATTTAATATACAAAAATTTGTCTAAAAAATAAAATATCAGGGATGGTCATCCCTTATTACTTAGGGGTATGAAGTATAGATAGTAGCCGATTCTCCCAAGTACTATCGATTTCCTGAGCTGGACATATTTACATGTGACTTGTTAAATTTTAGCAGAATGGCAATGGATTTCTTAATTAACACGTAAAATTGTCGGTTGTTATTGTTTTAATATATTTGTTTTTGTAATTATTACTATATCATATTTTTGTATAATTTTTCCTAAATGAGCATATTGGGGAGCTGTAAGACTCGCATAGTTTGATGTCAATAAATATATAAATAAATTATCATAATTCATTATCATTGTAATTAATAATGATTAAATCAACACGAGTATTTACCAATACATTTACATTATTACATTTTCCCTACGCATTTATCGAGATATTTGTAGAAATCGTTTGTGCGAGTACCTCAGTCTCACCTATTTCAGCCATTCACCTGCTTGTTTTATAATAATAATAATAATATATCAAGACAATTCATAAAGCGCCATCTAGTTCCAAGCTAAGCAGAGCTTGTATTATGGGAACCAGACAACTGATAAATACATGGATGCATTTTTTTTGTAAATAAATAAATATTATACCCTACCGACGCCATATATAACGTGATTATAATGCCGTTGGTGGTCTAGTGGTTTACCACAACGCTTTACTATCCGATGGTCGCGGGTTCGATTCCTCGCACGGTGCAAACATTTGTATTTATGGGTATGATTGTTTGTATCGGTCTGGGTATTTTCTATGTATATTTTGTATGTATCAGTTGTCTTGTACCCATAACATAAGCTCTGCTTACCGTGAGTCTAGATGGCGCTGTCTTAATTGTCCAAGGTTATTTATTGTTATGTTACACCCATAATATCCATCGTGCATTGCCATTATGGAGATGTAATTTTTTTTATAGCATAGGGGACAATCTTTTACGCTGGTGGGTCATCAGTGGTGTATGATAATATGAACATGAGGCAAGCTCAGTTAGCCCATTGCAATTTTACAAAGATCACCCACTCACTCACACATACACACACACATACGCACACACACACACACCCGCACGCATGGGGGGGAAGGGGATTGTTAGTAATGTGGACTAATGTCCCCATTGCCAGCAATGCACCATGTCAGGTTGACCTCCACGCGGTTCCTCCTGGAAACCATCGTGATAAATTTCTGGTGAATTTGTCACGATGGGCTAACTGACCTGACCACACGCTCATCTAATCACCCTCCCTCACCCTCCATTAGCGCAGGCGGGTGAATCATTCCATTATGATTCTTAAAAAAAAAAAACAAACACATACACACACACACACAACACACACACACACATACACACGGACGCACGCACACATACTCAATGCACTCCACGTTTAAGCTTAAAACTAGATGTATTACAAATTTATATGAAAGAGAGACCTGGTGTCTAAGGTACAGGCTATTGCTTACTTTGGGCTCCAGATGTCCCACAAATCATATTTGTGATTTTTATTGTTGGCATTTATATAAGAAAACTGGAACAATGTAATTTGTAGAGACGAAAAATTTTTTTACTTATTTATTATTTATTGTGACAAATTCACCAGGAATGGAAACAGGTGGTTAACAGTACAAATTACTAACAATCCAATTGTTACTTTTATTTTAGAAAAATAACGTTAAATTATTTCCGCGGACGAAGTCGCGGGAACAGTATATAAATAAATATTAATCATAACTACACACTGAAACATAAAATAAACATAAGGCTCTGGACACTAGCGGATAGACCTTGCATTACCCTGCATTTGGAGTGCAGATATCACAGCACAGTTCTCTGACTACGGAGTAGTAGTTTTTTAAATATAATAATGCACAATAGTGCTCCCTCCTGCGCTATCAAACACTATCAAAATTTAAATTATAGAGAATTTTGATCTGAACTTACCACTCTTTGCGACTCCAAGTCTGCCTTATTCCCAACCATGAGCATGGGGAATTCGTCTCGATCCTTCACACGAAGGATCTGCTTGTGGAATTTGTAAAGTTCATCGAAGCTCGCGTGATCTGCCACTGAGAACACCAGGAGGAATCCTTCGCCGGACCTCATGTACTGCTCGCGCATAGCACTGAACTCCTCCTGGCCAGCCGTGTCTAGAACTAAGAGTGAAACATATATGAAACAGTCATGCTCGCTATAAATTTCAAACTTGTGGCCGCGTGGTGAGCGGGTCAAAGTGCTCCCTCTAATATGGTTGAGTGCAATGATGGCTGGCTCATCCGTCATACTCGTAAACGGGTGCTAGACTAGACTATTTGCTTTTGCAATAGCATATACTGGTAGTCTCTATTCTCCCAAATTTTAATTTATAAATGAACTAGCTACTTGCCCCGGCATCGTCCGGGTGTACATGTATTATACATATAAAAGTTGCTCTTGAATCACTCTATCTATTAAAAAAAAACCGTAGCGTTACCGTTGCGTAGTTTTAATTATTTAAGCATACATAGGGACGGACAGACAGCGACAGCGACTTTGTTTTATACTATGTAATAATAATAATGATCTGTATTATTGTAAACATGTACAACATTTATTTGAAAATAATACGAGCTGAGTTTCTTGTCAGTTCTCATCTTGAAATCATTCGGAACTGACGGTAAATTTGACATATCATAAGAGTATGTAATAGAGTTACATGAATAAAGATATTTTAAAGTTGAACTTTTACATACACATATTATTATAAGAATAATTTATTGCTGCTAATGAAATTATTTATATATGTGAATTTATGTAGGAAAAATGTTAGGACACTTGATACGGCTCGATGAATTTATAAAAATTATTATTGAGAGAAAATAGAAGGAAGGTCTTCCCCTCCCTTCTGGGAAGGGAAGACTAAGGCCCAGCTACATCTAAGAAAATAAAGACAAAATTGGAGTCCTGTCAACATCTTATCAACATTTAAAGAGCATGATGGAAGATCGTGGAAAGTTGCAAGAGCTCCACCGACAAGAGCGTGGCTCTTAAATTATGAATGACTGATTTATTATTAAAAATAACGTTTATTCAAAAGAGCAACACGTAAGTTTATTTCTCGTTCTTTCTTGTGATGAGTCTGCATTCCGAATGAGTGGTAGAATAAAAAAATATGACATAAAAAAATGCTTATATTGGGTTCACTAAAGATTATTTCCTATTTCTATTTAATGAAATTACATAAAAAATATATTTAAGGGGTACTTCATTAGGCAGCAAAAGTACCGGTCCTTCAGTGAATGCCGACAGGATTCTCATTTGCAGCACTAGTTTTTAACTGGACCTTTCTCACAAATTTAAAGACTAAAAACTAGGGTAGGACAACACAACAACTAATCAATGGCAAATAAAATTCTCATCTTATATCAATCCCTTATCAGATAAAACTCTGTTTTATGTTAAATATAAACCTTTTTCTTGAATCACTCTATCTATTCCTAAAAACTGTAGTAAAGTCTGTTGCATAGTTTAAAAGATCTAAGCGAACAGAGAGCCTAAACAACTTTTTATACTAAATAAAGATATAGTAAAGTAAGTAAGACATAATCGCTTAGCACAGCACTGGTTTCCCTCGAGAAAGCTGACCCCAAACAATAGAATAATAAATGAAAGTAATCTGTTACTGTGGAACAATCTTAGTTACCAATGTATATATACATAGTAATGCTATAACATACACAATAATGAATATAACAATGAGGCAAAAGCAAACATGTGATTATGTTTTACAACTATTTTGATACTGTAAACATGGTTTTTACACACATTGATAGGTATAGAAAAACCCCCAAGTATATTAAAAATTAAACATGTTTTTAATTATAAGAAAACCCCAACCTGAACAAAACTGTCAAACTTTACTGAGCATACCGAAATAAGCCTCAGCTACAAAATTACACTGTCTCTCAAACCATGCCATTGGCAAAATCACCGATCAAAACTTGTGGTAGCCATCTAAATATATATAATTCAAAGGCGACTGACATAGTGATCTATCAACGCACAGGCCAAACCAGTGGATGAATCGGGCTGAAATTTGGCATGCAGGTAGATGTTATGACGTAGGCATGCGCTAAGAAAGGATTTTGATTAATTCTACCCCCAAGAGGATGAAACTTTATATGAAACTTTGCCAATTTTAAACCTATCGGGGTGAAACTTTGCATGCATAAAGCTACTATGACGTAGGCATCCCCTAAGAAAGAATTTTGATAAATTCCACCCCAAAGGGGATAAATTAACATGAGTGAAGCCGCGGGCAAAAGCTACTAGATACATAAGAATTTTCAATCTTTGATCTCAAATGACATGCTTATAATTTCTTAATACCAATTTTGATTAATTCTACCCCCAAGATGATAAAATAGGGGATGAAAGTTTGTATGAAACTTTGTCATTTTTAAACCAATCAGCCTGAGATTTTGCATGCATTAAGCTACTATACACAGGCAATCCCTAAGAGAGAATTATGTTAAATTCCACCCCTAAAGGGATATTAATGCGAGCGAAGCTGCGGACAAAAACTAGTCAAAAATAAAGAAGATGAGAACCTAAACAAATGTGATTAAATAAAGTAAATTTATGCAGTGACCATAGTGTTTAAAGAATCACATAAGTTTTTTTATTTGTTTTTTTTTATATTTATATCTTGCAATCGGCTCACCAAGCCTTTGACTATTTGTTGTGGAACCATTTACAGGTGAGAACTGTACCTCCAGTGAGAAAACTGTCTCATTTTACATTAATGATTCTGATCAGTGAATAAAATCCCATGTATTTCTTGTCTTTTAAGCCTTCTGTAGTTAAATGGGTATTGTAGTGCTGTTGCAGGGATATTAGAATAAGATTCTTTTATGTAAGAGGAATGGTAAACTGAATGACCTAACCTGATGGTTTGTGGTAATAATAATAATTTTGATTATTAAATGTGACACATCACCAACAACGAAATTCACAAGGAACTTGGCGTACTGACTGTAAAGGAGGAGATCCTCAATTGTAAAGAAAAATATAAAAAGCGACTATGTAATCACTCAAATCAACTGGCTGCTCAATTACTACAAATATTTTACCCCAAGCGACTAAAAAGAAGCGACATTGTGTAATGTTTGCAGTATGCTTAAGCAGTAGATTCTCCCGCTAGGGTGGACAATCCATTCTTAGATCCCACACCCAAAAAATCTGCTCATAGTTCTGGGAATGATTGCAGATAAGAAAAGATAAAAAAAAAAATTTAATTAAATTTTAAATAAAAGAAATAAATTTAATAATAAAAGTAATACTTTTTTACAATTTTTGTCTGTCTATCTCTTTGTTTGTTCCGGCTAATCTCTTATATCGGCTGGACCGATTTTGATGGGACTTTTATTGGCAGGTAGCTGATGTAATAAGGAGTAACTTAGGCTACTTTTATTTTAGAAAAATAAAGCTAAATTCCATGTGGACAAAGTCGCGGGTACAGCTAGTATATAATATATTTTCTTTTTTAATATGCATCTATCATTAGTATAAATTTGTTTCGTAAAAAGAAAAATAGTTTTACAAAGATCTCTATTCCTAGACAATTTCATGATCAGCCTTCTTTCATAATTTATCACACTAATATTTATCATTTTACCATCATGATACTGGACATCTGCTACAACTTCAATATAAACTAACTCGAGAATCTTGCATTCTTTTTGCTATTAAATAATGGAATTTCACTTACTGTCCAACTTTGCTGGTGAATCATCAATGACACACTGTTTAGTATAACTGTCCTCAATGGTGGGGTCATAATCAGTCACGAAATAACTCTGGAATAACAATAAAAAGGGATTTTAGGAACAGCTGGTAACTGCAGTGGGCGGCTCCTTCCCACAATGGGACCTTGACACCAAATATACTTGATGACTATTTTTAAATATGAAGAAATGGACAATTACTTTAAATATAAGCAACAGGAATATTACATAAAGTTTGTATACATCAGATATCCTAATATTCGAATCATAAAAATTATCTTAAGCAAAGATAAATACCTGAATGAATTGTATTGTAATTGCACTTTTTCCCACCCCGCCACCGCCGACCACGACAAGTTTATATGTCTGAGCTTGATTTGGTCTATCGCCAGGTCGAGACATATTTATAAAATAAATAAAACAACGGGTTTAACTAATATTATAATAAAAAAAATAGATTTCTAAATTAGATGACAAACAGTCAAGTCCGATTCGAAGGATGATTCAATTCACAGATCACAGAGGCTCCACAATATTAAATTCTGACATAGAGTACTTATTAAGTTTGACACAAATTTTAAAAATACTATACTATCTAAATATTACGACTTAATAGTTAAATAAATCACTTTCATTATACTAAAAAGAAGCAAGTTAATTTAATTAGAGAGATAATGCGTATTTTGAAAATTTTACGTGATGGTCGAACCATTTTACTCTGTACTGTCACTCATGTGATATCTGTCATTGACAGTGTCATTTAAGTCAGTTCAGTTCAGTCAGAAAAGTCACAACAACAATTCCGATAATCCATTGACCGTTTCTCGTTTATATTTTTTGTTTTTGTTAATATTTAAGAATAAAACGATTGTAATAAATTATATCTGATCTGTGATTATAAGAATAAAATGTTTTCGACGAGTACACAGAGGAAGTTTTGGACGTTCAGTGACGAGAATGAGATAGCACGGCACCGAGAAAAACACAATTTGCAGTACATTTCAAAGCATGGGGCTAATATTGACGAATATCAACGGTATAACTTTTTTCTGTCCCCTGATGAGGAGAGACTGCTTTTAAAACAATACGAGCTTCATATGAAGGAGTTCTGCAAGAGGTTCAGTCCACCGATGCCGAAGGGCGTAGTGGGCACCTCATTTAATTACTTTAAGCGTTTTTATTTGTACAACTCCTCAATGGATTATCACCCGAAAGAAATTCTTGCCACCTGCGTATATTTGGCGTGTAAAGTGGAAGAGTTCAACGTGTCTATAGGTCAGTTTGTAGCTAATATTAAAGGAGATAGAGAGAAGGCATCTGATATTATATTAAATAATGAATTATTGTTAATGCAACAGTTGAACTATCATTTGACTATTCACAATCCCTTCAGGCCAGTAGAAGGCTTCCTTATTGATATAAAAACGAGGTGTACACTAGCTAATCCGGAACGGTTACGAAGTGGGATTGACGAATTTCTAGAAAGGGTGTTTTTAACAGACGCATGTTTGCTGTATGCTCCGTCACAGATAGCTCTGGCTGCCGTCCTTCATGCAGCGAGTAAAGAACAGGAAAATCTTGATAGCTACGTCACAGAAACATTATTTAGAGACGCCGGACCAGATAAATTGGCTATTTTGATTGAAGCAGTACGTAAGATTCGTTCGTTGGTTAAAATGGTTGAGAGTCCAGCACGAGAACGAGTTAGGATTATTGAGAAGAAACTAGACCGGTGTCGTAATCAGGAGAACAATCCGGATAGTGAAATATACAAGAGGCGTATGAGAGAAGCCTTGGATGAAGAAGACCTGCCATATTTGCAACAGAGCAGAATGTCTCTAGATACAAGTGGAATCTCACAAGTGTTGTCCCCTTCGGCGTCTTAATATTGACTATTACTGTATTATTTTGACTTAAACTATTTTTTTTATATATAGACAGACTACACATATAAACAGACTGTATATTTAAAAATGTGTTTCCTTTGTCTTTCTATCCAACTAATTTGGCCTGATATGGATAGAGCATCTATCGGTTTTATACACTGATGTACTTTACTTACCATGGTTGTGTGTTCAATTCCTTGCATGGTACAAACATTTGTATTCATGAGTTTGATTGTTTGTATCGTTCTGGGTATTTTCTAAGTATATATACTATGTGTTTATTTTCCAAAAAAATATCTAAATATGTTTGCGCCTGTATCTGTATATCTCTTTCCATGGCAAGGAATCTTAAAAGGACAGAGATGTCTCGCTCGAGCCCGATCAGCGAGACTAGGGCTGTCGCACACGTAGTCGCTCTGACATCGTTGAATGATGGCTATCATAGTTTTTACATCAGTTCTCTAGACCTATAAGATAAGGTCTGCTTAGCTTGGGACTAGATGGCGCTGTTTTCCAGGTATAATATTAATTTGGTTTCCCAGCATTGATATGAAAGAAAGAAATTGACCACAATCTTTAGTTTTATGATTCATTCTAATTACGCCTAGACGTACATTATTATTTATATTATTCTTATTATATATATGTTGTATAAGCTGTGCTCGCCGTTTCCCTGCATCAAATTTATAGCCTATGGGTTATTCTGATGTATAAGCTATGATATTCTAAAGTTTCATCAAAATCCGTTCCGTAGTTTTTACGTGAAAGAGTAACAAAACACCCATCTATCCATTTATATACACAAACTTTCACGTTTATACTATCAGTAAGATAGTGTAAAGGTATCCACAGAACACCAGCGTCGTGGCACCTCGTCATGGCAAATGCTGAGCAGAGACCTTTTCGATATTCACATTAGTCTACAATTAGGTGAAAGAGTACTTTCACGCGCAAACTTTGCTTTTAATGAAAATCGTGAGGTGTTGTTCGATATCATTCGTTTCCGAATGATATCCTTATGAATGGTAGAATAAAAAAAATGTGACTATTCAAAAGTGCTTATATTAAGTTTATTTGAATAAAGATTATTTCTATTATGTAATATTATGTTATCTGTGATTTCTATTGTAGGCAATGAGAGGAAATTAAAAAAAATGCAATAAAAATTCTCTATTGTTTCTTAAATACGTAATTTTATTTGGTTAACATAAAGCATTACAAAATGAGAACACATCGTGGATCCATACGTAACTGAATATTAAAATTAAGCATATTTGAGATAAATAAGTGTTTATAATAATTAAACAATATTTATTAGGTACATACAGTCGATAAATATTTTTTCACTTTCTTGATAATAAACAATTATGAATCAATACAAAACAAGTTGGTTGTAGTCGTCATATTAAAAATATTTTTATTCAGGTAATTCAAGGTTTTTGACAAATTATTAGTTTCTCAGCTTCATTCTGTAACAAAAAAAAACAATAAAACAAAGTCGAAGTACAGATAAGATAATATTACATAATCGAAGTAGGTTAAACGATTTTAAAATTAAAACAAAAATCCAAGTAAACCAATTTTCTATATTTATTTAAAAGTAAGTCTTTGTGGAACCCGCTTTCTCCCTGATTTGCCCCTGTCCCTGATTTGATAAGCGTTGATCTTAAAAAATTCTATATTAAAAAATAACGGTTTCTAAAACAAGTTATTTGCTGTTTACGTTATGAGTCTACATTACCTCGTTAAATATCAGGCAGGATAAGTTATGGACGTAGCCAGACCGAAATAACAATGAGAAAAAAACAAGAGAAACCAATTCTAATTTCAAAACTCTGGTTTCCCTTCGATTCTTGCATTTGCATGAATCTTTCTGATTAAATCTAAATTGAGATATTATTGGAGAATTAATAAAGTTACCTGTATCAATTTATAAATGGCAGCCATTGATTCGTCATTTCTGCACGAGATTGAGCCAGTTATCGACGATCTTTTCCGCCCCAACTTGACGTGAACGTCAGTTGAGCTTCCGCTACCCATAGGTATGCGACTAAAACGATTACCAACAAAATAAGTTTATGCATTTTATAGTCTGTATTTATTTACTATTGTTAAAATGGTGGTAGCTTCTTTGAGAGCTATTCAAGTTTTGATGGTGTGTTAGGACCAGATACAGTTTTTATACGCCTGCAAATGTACTGATGAATAAATGAAAGAAGCCACAAAATGTTTAATTTGTCCGCCCCTGACTGTAATTAGTTTTGTTTTTCGCAATTGGTTTTTATTTAGCCACTGCCCACGCCGCGGACAATAAGCATAAACTTAAACTTAACATACTTATTATTTCACTAAAGATCCGGCCCGGCTTTGCACGGGTACAATTAGAATAAACAATCATTTAGGTATTCATGTAGGACATTTTAGCCGCTTATGAACGCTTATGAATTATTGTATTAATATTTTATTTCTCTATCGTTCAGTTCAGTATACAGATTCAATTAGAAGAACTGGCAAGAAACAACTGATTTTCTTTTGTTTTAATAGCCAGTTTATTTACATTCTACACGTATATAGGCGTATATATCTGACATTAAGTATAAATCCCGTGCATGAACAACTACTGCTATTCTCGTTTGTCATGTAAGTAATCTATATGAGTCAAGGGATTTGCTCTATACCTAAATATTTAATCCAGATCGCTACATCCTATGGTGGAAATCATGGCCCCATATAACACTGACACAGCGGAGCCATGGCTAAATATATGCATTATATGTTGATAAGGCACCGACCTAGCGCCGTATTCATTCATATTATATTTGGGACATGGTGTCTATGGAAATAACGGAATTTCCCATTTCTGAATCACGTAAGGTGTCTGATGTCTAAAAGAAGGGTGTTTCTGTATAAGTAAGATAAACACTTATATCTTAACTTAGTTCTTTTATTAAAATTTCAGACTTTTACTCTGTAGAAAGTTACTTTAAAAATGTTTGGAATTCGTATATCGAATGTTACAAAATACTAAAGTTATTGGGATGATCTGTTTTTGGCCTAATTTGAACATTAAAAAAAATAAAAACTCAATTTTAAAAAAAGAATACTCATTGTTTTTTGGGCTAATTTGAACTTCAAAAAAAGAATGCTTACCGTTTTTTTTGGAATGGTTTTTGGGCTAATTTGAGCTTTAAAAAAGAAAACTCACCGTCCTTTGGGCTAATTTGAATTTTAAAAAAGAATGCTCACCGTTTTTTGGGCTAATTTGAACTTTAAAAAAAGAATACTCACCGTTTTTTGGGCTAACTTGAACTTTAAAAAAGAATACTCACCGTTTTAGTTATTGGGCTAATATGAAATTTAAAAAAACAACATCACCGTATTTTTGGAATGGTTATTGGGCTAATATGAAATTCAAAAAAAGTTAACACATTTTTTTTGTAACGATTATTGGGCTAATATGAAATTCAAAAAAGAACACTTACCGTTTATTTGGAATGGTTTTTGTGCTAATATGAAATTAAAAAAAAAAGAACACTCACCGTTTTTTTTGTAATGATTATTGGGCTAATATGAAATTCAAAAAAAGAACACTCACCGTTGCCCTTTTCCAAGTTCTAATTACCATAATCCAGATGTTTAGGCGTAAATACAAAATAAACAAAAATCAGACAAACTTACATACTGACACTAGCCTGGTCAATTTGTAAGTTTAATAAAACAGCCTTCATTATTCTTCTCATGATATAAATTTCTATATTAGAAATAATATGGAAAATACATTTATTATACAGTACAAACAAAAATAAATCAGTCGTCTAAACAATATTAGTTTAGATTTGGAAAAACAGACCCTTATTATGCCGTCATTTTCTTCATAAACCTTGTATGTCTTCATTTGATTTGTAAATAAGTACCCACAAGTGACCAACTAATTGTCCCATCCTACTATATATAAAACCAGTTGGGAATATTCCAAGCCAATTCCATATCGTCTTTAGCCCGAGAACCATGTCTCGTATGCTGGTATTTGTCCTGCTTGTAGCGGCTATGCTTGTGGTGTCTGAAGCCCAGTTGACGTTTAGCACCGGATGGGGAAACGGGAAGAGATCTCTCAATCAGGAGCCTGATGACGGTTGTGCGACGGAAGAGACTATATATGTCATATACAAACTGATACAGGTTCGATATTTTTTGTTATAATAATATAATGCGGACGACCTCAGTGGTTTAGTGGTATTGCACACATTACCTTAGCTGGTTGCGGGTTCGATTCCTCGCACGGTGTAAACATTTGTATTCATGTGTATGATTGTTTGTATCCGTCTGGGTGTTTTCTATATATCTACATATATATTTACAAAAATGTATCTATGTATTTATACTAGTTGCCTAGTATCCATAACACAACCTCTGCTTACCGTAGGACAAGATGACGCTGTGTTAATTGTCCAGGGTTATTTATTTATTATTGACTAGCTACTCGCCTCGACTTCGCACGTGTGTACATGTATTATATATATAAACCTTCCTAATGAATCATTCTATCTATTAAAACCGCTTCAAAATCCGTTGCGTAGTTTTAAAGATTTAAGCATATATAGGGACGGACAGACAGCGACAGCGACTTTGTTTTATACTATGTAATGATATAGCCATCACAATTCACCAGAGCACCACCTATACCGCTGCACCACCGTGTTTATAATTTTTTTCTTACTAATATTCTCAATTTTATTCTTATGTGGATTATTCTCATGTGGAAGTTAGTGGGTGTGGATGGATGGACACTAATGTACTTGACAGTTTTGGCGATGGACTAAAATTTGTTACACTCCTTAACAGTGTTGAAAATTGTTTTCACTATTTTCATACATTTATTTTTCTACCAATTTCATAGGTATTTTCTTTATAGAGTTGTCATTTATTTTTTACTAGCTGTTCCCGCGACTTCATTCGCGTGGAATTTAACTTTATTCTTCTTAAAATAGGGGATATTTTTTTTAAATAGGGGATGAAAGTTTGTATGAAACTTTGTCAATATTAAACCGATCGGGCTGAGACTTTGCAT